TATTGTATGGTGACTAACATAATATAATAAAATTAAAAAAAAAAAAAAAAAGAGTTTCCAAGACAAGCAAAAAACTAAAGGAGTTTGTGAACACTAAACTAGCTCTGTAAGATATATTAAAGGGGACCCTTTGAGTGGAAAAGAGAGCCCAAAAACAATGAAGAATAGAAAGGAACAGAGACAATCTACAGGAACAATGACATTACAGGCAATACAATGGCATTAAATTCATATCTCTCAATAATTACTCTGAATGTAAATGAACTAAAAACTCTAATCAAAAGGCATACAGTATCAGAATGGATAAAAAAAAAAAAGACCCATCAATATGCTGCTTAAAAGAGACTCATTTTAGACACAAAGATACTTCCAGATTGAAAGTGAGGGGATGGAGAACCATTTATCATGCCAATGGACATCAAAAGAAAGCTCTAGTAGCCATACTTATGTCAGAAAAACTAGATTTTAAACCAAAGACTGTAATAAGAGATGAAGAGGGTATATATCATAATAATGGGGTCTATCAAACAAGATCTAACAACTGTAAATATTTATGCCCCTTACTTGAGAGTAGCCAAATAAATAGTCAATTAATATCAAACTTAAAGAGACTCATTGATAATTATACAATAATAGTAGGGGACTTTAACACCTCACTCATAGCAATGGACAGATCATCTAAGCAGAAGAGCAACAAGAAAACAGTGACACACTGGACCAGATGGACTTAACAGATATATTCAGAGCATTTCATCCTAAAGAATACACATTCTTTTCAAGTACACATGGAACATTTTCCAGAATAGATCACATACTAAGTCACAAATCAGGCCTTAACCACTACAAAAAGATTGAAATCATACCATGCATATTTTCAGACCACACTGTTATGAAACTTGAAGTCAATCATAAGAAAAAATTTGGAAAGACCACAGATACCTACTAAAGAATGAATGCATCAACCAGGAAATTAAAGAAAATTTTTTAAAAATACATGGAAGCCTATGAAAATGAAAACATTACAGTTCAAAACCTTTGGGATGCAGCAAAGTCAGTCCTAAGAGGTAAATATATAACAATACAGGCCTTCCTCAAGAAGCAAGAAAAGTCTCAAATACACAACCTAAACTTACATCTAAAGGAGCTGGGAAAACAATAGCAAATAAAGTCTAAATCCAGCAGAAGAAGAGAAATAATAAAGATTAATGATATAGAAATTAAAAAAATAGAACAGATCAACAAAACTAGGAGCTGGTTCTTTAAAAGAATTAACAAAACTGATAAACACCAAGGCAGACTTAACAAAAAGAAAAGAGAAAGGACCCAAATAAATAAAATTATGAATGAAAGAGGAGAGATCACAATCAACACCTCAGAAATACAAACAACTATAAGAGAATATTAGGAACAGTTATATACCAACAAATCAGGCAATCTGGAAGAAATAGATAAATTCCTAGAAACATATAAACTACCAAAACTGAATCAGAAAGAAAGAGAAAATCTGAACAGACCCATAACCAGCAAAGAAATTGAATCAGTAATCAAAAATCTCCCAACAAACAAGAGTCCAGGATCAGATGGCTTCCCAGGGGAATTCTACCAAATATTTAAAGAAGACTTAATACTTATTCTTCTGTTCCAAAACTGTTCCAAAAAATAGAAATGGTAGGAAAACTTCTAAACTCATTTTATAAGGCCAGCATTACCTTGATTCCAACCAGACAATGAACCCACTAAAAAGGATAATTACAGATCAATATCCTTGATGAACATGGATGCAAAAATTCTCAACAAGATACTAGCTAATTGAATCCAATAATATATTAAAAGGATTATTCAATATGACCAGGTGGAATTTATTCCTGGGCTGCAAGGGTGGTTCAATATCTGCAAATCAATCAAGGTGATACATCACATTAATAAAAGAAAGGATAAGAACCATATGATCCTCTCAATAGATGCAGAAAAAGCATTTGATAAAATATGACATCATTTCTTGATAAAAATCCTCAAGAAAGTAAGGATAGAAGGAACATACCTCAAGATCATAAAGGCCATATATGAAAGAATTACAGCTAACATCATCCTCAATGGGGGAAAATGAAGAACTTTTCCCCTAAGGTCAGGAACACAACAGGGATGTCCACTCTCACCACTGTTGCTCAACATAGTACTAGAAGTCCTAGACTCAGCAATCAGACAACAAAAAGTAATAAAAGACATCCAAAATGACAAGGAAGAAGTCAAACTTTCACTCATCGCAGACGACATGATACTTTAAGTAGAAAACCCAAAAGACTCCCAACAAAAAATCTCTAGAACTAATACAGGAATTCGGCAAAGTTGTAGGATGTAAAATCAACACAGAAGTCTGTTACATTTCTATACACCAATAATGAAGCAGCAGAAAGAGAAATCAAGGAATCAATCTCATTTATAATTGTACCAAAGACCATAAGATACCTAGGAATAAACCTAACCAAAAAGGTAAAAGATCTGTACCCTAAAACTATAGAACACTTATGAAATAAATTAAGGAAGACACAAAGAAATGGAAAAACATTCCATGCTCATGGACTGGAAGAACAAACATTGTTAAAATGTCTATGCTACCCAAAGGAATCTACACATTCAGCAATCCCTATCAAAATAACACCAGCATTTTTCACAGAGCTAGAACAAACAATTCTAAAATTTGTATGGAACCAGAAAAGACCTAAAACAGCCAAAGTAATGTTGAAAAAGAGAAGCAAAGCTGGAGGTATCGCAATTCTGGACTTCAAGCTATATTACAAGGTGTAGTCATCAAGACATTATGGTACTGGCACAAAAACAGACACATAGATCAATGGAACAGAATAGAGAACCTAGAAATGAACCCAAACTATATGGTCAACTCATCTTTGACAAAGGAGGAAAGAATATCCAATGGAAAAAAGACAGCCTCTTCAACAAATGGTGTTGGGAAAATTGGTCAGCCACATGCAGAGGAATGAAACTGACCACTTTCTTAAACCATACACAAAAATAAATTGAAAATGAATGGAAGACCTAAATGTGAGACAAGAAACCATCAAAATCCTAGTGAGAACACAGGCAGCAAGTTCTTTGACCTCGGCCACAGCAACTTCTTGTTAGACACATCTCCAGAGGGAAGGGAAACTAAAGCAAAAATGAACTATTGGGATTTCATTAAGATAAAAAGCTTCTGCACAGCAAAGGAAACAATCAACAAAACTAAAAGGCAACTTACAGAATGGGGGAAGATATTCACAAATAACTTATCAGATAAAGGGCTAGTATCCAAAATCTATAAAGGACTCATCAAACACAACACCCAAAAAAACAAAAAATCCAGTTAAGAAATGGGAAGAAGACATGAACAGATATTTCTTTAAAGAAGACATAAAAATGACTAACAGACACATAAAAAAATGTTCAACATCACTCAGCATCAGGGAAATGCAAATTAAAACTACAATGAGAATAGCAATTGCACTACTAGGTATTTATCCAAAGGATAAAAAATAATTATTTAAAAGGGCCCATGCACCCCAATGTTTATAGCAGCACTATCTGCAATAGCCAAAATATGGAAACAGCCCAAATGTCCATTGACTGATAAACGGATAAATTAAAAGTGAGATAGATATAGATATAGATATAGATATATATTCCACAATGGAATATTACACAGTTATCAAAAATAATGAAATCTTGCCATTTGCAATGACGTGGATGGAGCTAGAGTGTATTATGCTAAGTAAAATAAGTCAGTCAGAGAAAGACTCATATATGGAATTTAAGAAACAAAACAGATGAACACAGTGAAAGGAAGGAAAAATAAGATAAAAACAGAGAAAGAGGGGCACCTGGGTAGTTCAGTCCTTTAAGCATCTGAGTCTTGGTTTTGGCCCAGGTCATGATCTCAGGACCGTGAGGTCAAGCCCCAGGATGGGCTCTGTGCTCAGTGTGGAGTCTGCTTGAGATTCTCTCTCTGTCTCCCTATGCCCTTCCCCTTGCTTTCTAAATAAATAAATAAATAAATATTTTTAGGCAAACCGTAAGAGACTCTTAACTATAGGGAACAAAAAAGAGTTGCTGGAGGGGAGGTGGGTTGGGGGTTGGGGTAAATGGGTGATGGGCATTAAGGAGGGCACTTGTAATGAGCCCTGGGTGTTGTATCACGTGATGAATCACTAAATTATTCCTCTGAAACTAATACTACACTATGTCTTAACTAACTTTAATTTAAATAAAATCTTGAAATAAAAATAAAAATAAATTAAATTATAATCCATTTCAAAGTAATAAAAAGAATATTGTTGAAGTTTGGACAAAGACACCTTACCATTCATTTCCTTGTGAAGGGTTTTCTAGTAGCACTCGGATTATGTATAATAAGCAGCTTAATAATTTGAGAGAAAAATTGAATAGACGAATTCTTAGACCTTTAAACAAACAACAAAAATTTAATTTTTATTTGAACTTAGTTCATGAAGGACCAAAAAAAATTGTCAAAAATAACAACTTTAAGTATAGAACTTAAATTGTATTTAGAAACTATAATACTATAATTGTCTAAACTCTTAAATTTTAGGTAGCTGAATTTTAATTACCTAAATATTTAAATAAAAACTGACATTGACAGATTGTATGCACTGAAAATGGCAATGAATATTATACCCAAGGATAAATTTAGGTTTGAGCATTCAGAAGCCACAAAAATATTTCCAATCAAGATTGGTTCAAATATTCTTAGAAGTGTAAGCAATTTTTGTATCCATGAATTTTGGAATAAGTTTTAGCTAGCTAGAAAACCTAGACACTTACAAGTTCATCAGATAGTTTATAAATCTTTTACTTTCAGAACACCTTGTGGATTTGATTATAGAGAAATTATAATCATGTATATAATTATATATGTACTCTCAATTAGTAATTATATAATTGTAGAAGAGTCATAATAGCATTTGCTAGAAAATACATGCATACACACACACTTTTTAGTTCGACCAGTTGAAACCTACTTTTGACTTTAGGTTGAATACCAATGAAATCTTTGATATTTGGGGGTATTAAGACTGCTATGTATGTATCTATAAAACTGTGTAGGTCATAGTTATGCAGCCTATAATACCTGATGATGAAGAAGAGCAATTAACATTAAGCAAAATATGCCTAAAGTCTGATTAATAGAAGCATTACCTTTCCTGTAATTATCAGGTGGTATCTGATTGATGCATTATGAATAAAATTTTCAGAAAGGTCTTCTTATAATTATTATTTAATAAAATCTGGAAATGAAATGTCATTTTTTTTACTCTGCTATATATGAGTGTACTTGAAGTAACATTTCTTAACAATAAAAGGTTAATGCTTATTAATTGTGTAATTTTTCCTAGGTTTCCCTATTAAAATGCTAGGTACATTTTATGGGTTAGCTTCTTCATAAAGTCTTTTAAACTGTTCATGAAATTGCCCAGGTTTTATAGAACTGGTCTCCTCAAATGACTATTTAATCAAAGTTGGCTGCTGGTGAAGTATTCAAATAATGCATCTATCTTTTGTGGCCTGGAAAGATAGCATTGTTAGTATTAAAATCAAGGAAACCTATTCAGATGATGATGTGGCCACTTTAGGTAATACTTCTTGGTGGGACTTCCTTGGAAATTCTAAACAACCAGGTTGGAAAGGCATTAGCTATGATTAGCCTTAACTCTGGAGCTAACTTGCCATTAAGAATCTCTAACCAGGGATACCTGGTTAAGTCGTTAAGCGTCTGCCTTCGGCTCAGGTCATGATCCCAGGGTCCTGGGAGCGAGCCCCGCACCGGCCTCCCTGCATCGGGCTCCCTGCTCGGCGGGAAGCCTGTTTCTCCCTCTCCCCGCCCCCTGCTTGTGTTCCCTCTCTCGCTGTGTCTCTCTCTGTCAAGTAAATAAAATCTAAAAAAAAAAAAAAGAATCTCTAACCAGTGTGCCTTACATACTGAAACAGTCCCTACACTCGGTATTTGGATAAACTCCCACAACTTGGGCTTTTCTCTTTGGACCCTATAGAGACACAACTTAATCTAGACCACCCCAAGAAGATTCCAGGGTCAAAAAGAACAAAAAGTCTACACCAATCCATAATACAGACCTCTCCATTGTTTGCTGACATTTTAAGCAATAATCACATGAAAAATTATATATTGACTCATTATATATGGCTTTTAAAAAATATGTGGCATTACAGGGAGGCTACAAGTATCACTGACACATCAGCCTTGAATGGTCTTAGGTCAGTGACTATGCCAATTTCATGTCTTCTTGAAGTTGAAATGTTTCCCAAATTTATCTGATGAGAAGCATCAGTGGAGTGTGAAACTCTGAGCTGAGGCCTACACTTCCTGATTCAAAATCTCCAGAGAAGGGTGCTAGTTATCGGTACATTTCAGAAAACGCTTGTTATCAGGCATGATTGGGAAGCATTAAACTCTTCCTCAATAAATCAGATAATTATTCCGGTTTGGTCAGAGCCTTCTCAGTATCCCTCACAGTTAAAATAAGGGAACCCACATTTAAATTATTTTCCTAAATGTCTCGACTAATCCAGATGGTCCGCTCACAAGTCTGCTTATTGATGTGGGATTTGGGGAATTACAGGTATTCAAAAATCCTAACACCACCAAATGTAACATCTATAGCTTTCTAAACTTTTACTGCCTGGCAGAAAAGATTATCATATTTATTCTACATAAAAGATATTTTGCAAAAGGATTGCATGCTGAATTTTTTTAGGCAAATATGTACAAACATATACACAGGAGAATAAAATGAATTACTCACTTGATCTCTGGTTTTTGATAAAAAATAACTTTAGTCTCTCTTTAAATGTGTTTTCATTCATATAGAATTCAACTTGTACCCTGCAAGCAGAAGATAAAAATATAATTACTCTAAAGATGAATACATTTAAAAATAATTTTATTTAATGCATTATATACTTTGAGTGAATCCCCACTACAGAAAATGAAAACTGAGTAAAAATACTGAATTTTTTGGAGAGAAGCAGTTACTTTCTAATTCTAAACATAGAATAAGTTCAAATATCATATATTTAATTCAATTATCTGTATTACCAGATGTAATGAATGGTATAAATAATTCAAAACAGCAATAATATGTGTCTTTGGAATAATTTTGAATCAGTGTTTTCACAAGTTTTTTCTCTGTCATTAGAATCAATTGGGTGTTTGAAGAATCCAGTTCGAACACCACCACCTGATGTGCTGGAACAGAATCTTAAGGCACCAGCCTGAAAATCTATTTTTAAAAAGCCTTTCCGTCCATTTTGAGCCTATTTGGGACCCACATTATGGGACATTTTACCTCTTTATTTATTTATTTAAGTTTATATTAAAATATACATGGATCAACAAAGGAGTAGTAACAACATGTAGAATGTTAAAGTCAACATAGCTAGGTTATAAACCAGACAAAACAATTAAGGAACTGAATATTATATATTTAATCTACAATACAATAATACCAACAGTCTAAAAAATAGTAGCATGCTAATAAGTACATTTGCTTTCTCCCTAAATTCCAGCAAACATCTCTCATATGATGACATAATTAATATTTTCAAAATACTGGGTGAAAAGAAATATTAGATTCATGATGATTTGTTAATAATCATTTGAAATGTTATTTTTTATTTGAAATTTTCTTAATTAAATGGTCTGAAATACACTTATTTTATGTTTCCAAAACAGCTAAGAAAGCACTTTAATGTTTACACAAACAATAGACTTAATTTCATTTTTCCTAATATCACAAAATTTTTACAATGTGATCTTTATAAACTAGAAACTTTATTTTGTAACTCTTAATCCCCTTCACCTATTTTGCACCTCCCAAACCCTATCCCCTCTGGCAATCACCATTTTGTTTTCCATATCTCTGAGTTTTGTTCCATTTTGTTTGTTCATTTGTTTTGTTTTTTAGATTACAAATATAAGTGGAATTCTAGTTTTAAAATAAGTCATAGGATGTAACGTACAGCAAGGTGACTATAGTCAATAATACTGTATTGCAAATTTGAAAGTTGATAAGAAAATAAATCTTAGAAGTTTTCATTACAAGAAAAGAAATTCTTTGTAAGTCTGTATGGTGATAAATGGAAAGTAGATTTATTGTGATCATTTCACAATGTATACCAATGTCAAATCATTATGCTTACACCTGAAACTAATATAATGTATGTCAATTATACTTCAGTTTAAAAATTGCAATATCCTCTAGCAAAACACTTACGTATGCATCCCTACACATACATAAACATACATGTTACAAAAGTGCATGCACACACATAGAGACACAAAACTCCAGTAGTATCTTAGAAATCCATCATTGAGTCTGTTTTACTTGTTTTTTGGCTGAAAAGGCAGTTCATTTTAAATAAAGTAACTCTAATATTGATATCAAGCTAAATTATTTCAAATCTGCTATGGATACAAAAGCAATTTTGAAAGGACATATGGCTATTATGCAAGTAATTCAGCAAAAGGCCATGAAGATTTGCTCTAGAGTTATCAAATTTATAAGACTATTAGTCCATTCTTCCAATAATATCTGAAGTTCAGTACTGGGTTCAACTAAACAACAGAGGTTTAACTAAAATTAGGTCATTTAAAGCCTTATGCAAAATAATGAGGAATCTGGAAAGCATCTCATATGAAGACAAGTTTAAGGAACTGGAAATGTTTAGCCTAAATATGAACAGTTAGCAGTAACAAAATAGCTGTCTTTAAATATTGAAGTGGCCATCATTATTAAAATGAGATGACTCATAATATGATGCTCTATTGTATAAGATTAATCATAGAGAAATAGGAGAATTAGGAATGAGATTACCCAATTTTGAAATGGCCATCATTGTGAAATGAAGAGTTCTCCAATATATATAAATGTACCAAAGACTGGATAACAGCTTGAAATGCAGTGACTGTTTTTTTCCTGAGGTAAAGACAATTTTGCATGAGATAAATTCTCTCATTAAATGACTTCCAGATTCCCTCCTCATTATAATATTATGTGAAATAAAACAATTAATCTAGTGATCTCTGAGACCATATGATCACCAGGGAACATAAGATATTAAAGCATAAGTTTATACAAAGGATATTTTTAAAGCTAAAGCTAACATACAAAGCAAAATACTTTTGGATCCATGTCTTTTCTCAGGTACAGAAAAATGACTTTTAAGTTAACTACTCATAATATTGAGCAGAGCTTTCTTTTATTTTTTTAATAACAACTTTTCCGAGAATCAAAGCCAGTTAATGTTAGTATATTCTTAGAGGACCTTCTTAGCACCATAGAGTTCTCTAATACTCAGGGACTTAGTAGAGTTTAGTGTTTATCCCTACTAATTTTTTCATGATTTTAATTTATTTTAAATATTCTCTTCATATTTCTTTTTCCAGATTTAAATGTGCTTTCCCTTTTTTCCTTCTCTCCTTCCTTCCTTCCTTCCTTTCTCCCTTCCTTCCTTCTTCCTTCCTTCCTTCCTTCCTTTTGTTCTTCTGAACTCTCTCCTCCAACTAACTTTATTTGAATTTACCTCCATCCAAATAAGTCAACTTAGTGCACTCTTTCTGGACCTTCCCCAGAACCCCACAGTTTTAGTCACATTTATCCCAGTGTAATAGTGGAATTATAATTGTGTTTAATAAAAAAAATAAAATGGAATTACAATTACTAGGTGGTATCTTCTCCTATTGACACGTTTTCATTGTTTAATAATATTAGCTTTCTATTGGTCAACAACATTTTATTGTTTGATTTGCATAGACCCTACGTATTCTTTGTGACATTTATTTCTGGGTATTTTATAATTTTGGTTGCTATTTTTAAAGTGTTTTGTTCTAACCTTTAACTTTTGGTTTTAGTATTGTAAATAGCTACCATGTTGAATTCCTTCATATGCAGTAATACTTTTTTTTCCAGGTTTATTGCTTAGGTTTTCTAGACAGACAATCATGTCATCTAAAAATCTCCAATATTTTTATTTACATTTAATTTTTATTATGTTGACTAGCACTTATTGAGGAAAAAATATCAACTGTGGTATGCATTCTTAGAAGGCCTCTTGTGCTTTAGCAATAATTATATTGTCATCCCTGGAATTGCAATAAACATTTATAGCTTACTAAAAATCCTATCAGGAGTGGACAGATATTGATTGCTTTCAAAAGTCTATCTTGATTCTATCAAATTGATGGTAACTTTTGGGGATTTTTTTTTGACATTGGTTTGGTGAATTGTTTTAATAGTTTTTCTATAATGCAATTATTTTTTCAATTCTGGACTAGTTTTGGTAGTCATGAATTATTCAGGTAATTTACTGGTGGATTCATTTTCTTATATTTTTAGGAGTTTTTCTTCGATAGTCATAAATAACTAGCACATTGATGTGCTATCATCTTTAGATTATTCTAATATCTTCAAATATGAACTGAAAAAATATATGAATTGAAAACCTCTCCAGATTTTTCTACAGACTGTAACAATTCTGATTACTACAAAGATGTTTTGTGTAACTATTGTTAATTTGCCTTAATATTGACTTTAATTTGTTACTTTTTTTTTTCTTTTCTTTTCCTTCTGGTGCTCTGGTTACTTGAATTTAGTATAAGAATCATGCAGGATCTTGTTAAAAGCTAATTTCCTTGTTTCACTCTTAAAATTCTTCTTTACTAAGATAGGTCTTACCATTTTAACCACACAAAAAATAATTCTGACCCAGGCTACCCACACAGTTCTTTCAGAAACACTATTTCACTTTTTTCAAGTGCTAATAATGCCTTGGGCTCTGTAGGATGTCAAACCTTTGCAGATATTCGCTTTGGAACTTGTAGTAGATCACTACCAAAGGAAGATTCTTCTCCAATTTCTATTTGGTGCTGTCCCTTCCTACCTCCCTCTGAGTCTGCAGTATTGGTCACAGAGTCCATGCATGAGTTTTTATGACTATACTCCTGTCAAACAAGGCAATACCTGCCTGGACTTTCTGGCCTCAGCAGACAGGTTCAGTGGATACATGTTAGTCTCTCTATGTATTTATTGGTGGGTGTTTTTCTTTGGAAAATCTACATGTGGATGTTAAGTTAACGGACATAGCTCCATTGCAATTCCCCCCATGCCTTAAGAACTTTGCACCTGGCATCATTTTTGTGCTTTTAAATTGGTGTATCCCTCTAACTCTATGTTTGGTGCTCTGACTCCAAAGATCAAGGGAAAAAAAGAAAATCTCTTTGTGTTCTACTGCCAAGTTTCTCTCACTCTATTCTGACCACACTACTAAACCTAAAATGGGGCTTATACCTATGAGAATTACACTTTTCCAAACATACATTATTGTAAATGTACCCTTATTTTTCTAAAGTCATTGCTATATGTTGAACTATGTCCCTTAAAAAGATATGTTGAAATCCTAACCCCAGTACCTCATAATGTGACCTTATTTGGGAATGAGTCATTGCAGACATAATTAGTTAAATTAAGATGACATCATACTGGAGTAAGATGGGTCTGTAATCCAATTCCCCCGGTGTCTTTATTACAGGAAAATTTGGACCCTGACAAAGAAGAAAGATGGCCATGTGAAGACAGAGACAAAGACTGGCCACAATCCCAGGAACAGCTAGGGCTACAAGCTGAAAAGGCAAGTGAGGATTCTCCCCTAGAGACTTAGGAAAGAGCATAGCACAACCAACAACTTGATTTCAAATGTCTATAATCCAGAGCTTGGAATTAATAAACCTCTGTTGTTTTAAGGCACCTAGTTTCTGGTTCTTTGTTATGGCAATCCTTCAAAACTAATACAGTAATATTCCATGATGATGAGAGTAGCATTTCGTAG